AGAAACCTATGATTGTGGGTTCGAATTCCGGTTCGCCCCGATAATGTTTCTAGGTTTGTCAGCACCATACCCGTGCTCGTGGGTTTCACCGAAGTGGTAAACGTCTGCGACCAGCATCACTTCGGGCTTTCCTCCCACATTAAGCTGACACGCCGTGATATAACTGGAATACTGCTAAAAGCAGCGTTAAACCCAACTCACTCACTATATTTAGTAATCAATAACAGGAAATGAGATATGATTGAGAAACTGCTCTGGCTCTCAGTTCATTTTATTAAATGTTTGATTTTCACTGTAAAATATCTAAAGTTAACTGTACTGGAGTTTGTATGGGCACTCTAAGAATACTTCAACCAGCTTTTATGTTTGCACATCTAATTTGATCAAAGACTTTTAATAAAATACAAAAATAAAAATGCGCATAACACATAAATGATGATGGCTAACTTAGGCATCTTTTTGGCTCAAATTTACATTTCAAACATGGTTGGGGTCATATGGTTTCACGTATGCACATGTGCCGAGTTTTGGAAGACCACAAACAGGGGTATGGTGCTGACAAGCACAGAACGTAATTCGAACCGGGATTCGAAGCCATGATAAAGGTCCTGTCACACCTAAGGGGCACAACTCTGCATCACTGAGTCATTTGGTTTGACGCTGCTTTGGGATCCGAGCATGACCATGGGATTTTAGCGAACCGGGATTCGCCACTTTTAACATTATTCCAGTTATATCGCGGCGTGTCAGCTTAATGTGGGAGGAAAGCCCGAAGTGATTCAGGTCTCGGACGCTTACCATTTTGTTGAAAGCACGGGCATGGTGCTGACAAACCTAGAAACACACTTGCAAGAGAGGTACATGGACAAAACCCGCAGTGTTGTGAGATATGCATGACGGTACCATTGATAGTACAGTAAACTACGGTTATAACGAACACGCTAATAACGAACTCAAGGATATAACGAACTAACTTTTTAGTCCCGACTATATGCTGTAGTTATGCTGTATGTATGCTTATAACGAATTACGGTTATAACGAAGTAAAATTAGTTGTCCCTTTGAGTTCGTTATTACCGTAGTTTACTGTATTGAACTTTCTCGCGTTTGTTTTATTGATATCAATAAAAACATGAAACCATCACAAATAATGTACCCTAGTGCGTTAGTTCGTTTGCGGATGGATAAAAACGAACCATGTACACATGTACGTGTTTCCATCAATTTCGAATGTACAGTGACATTGATTTGATGACGTCATACGGAGCTTTGACGCACGCACACGTTCTTCAGTATTATTATCACAGCGGGTGGTCTGGGTCGGGGAATAGGCCAAAGTGACGTAAGCCAACGACAGCAGCTGACAGAACATGAATAGCAGAGACTAATAATATAATATAGATATACTTTCTATGATATTGATTAATACAACGTTATATATGTACTCATGTATGATTAAAGGACGTCATCCAGACGCGAACGCCTGCACAACTTATTAAAGTTGGAATATGCCACGGAAAAAATGTGATGCTTATGCATCTAGTCAGAGGAGTAAATTTGAGAAAAGATGAGATACTGATATATCTCGTAATCCACACACCCTGTCAACTGTTGGCTTTTTCAAATCTAAGCACGATACTTCATCGCTTGATCGAAAACAGGACTCGTTGGGGGACGTCATGACTACTTGTATGTATACACATTAACTTTTTTAAGACAGTTTCTGGAACGTCCTTGAAGTGGAATTACCCCTACTTCCATTCGAAGTTAATCAGAAAAGAACCCAATTGTTTGGACGAAGTCCCTAGACCCAACCTCGGTCGTATGCATAGTGATTATGCATAATCCAAAACAGGAAGTGATGTAAAGTGCATATTCCACACGTATCATACCACAAAATAGCCAGCAATTGAGTCTCAAACGACAGGTACTTTGTTTACCGAAGTTGGTGAAGAAAATCACCATCGATCAATCCTCATTGACATGTCATTACAGTTTACCAAGAACAAGAAACATTTTGCATATAACATACTTAACAGGTTAGTAGTCCGGTATTGATCCTGGGTAGAATAGGTCTTCAGCAACCCATGCTTGCCGTAAAAGGCGACAATGCTTGTCGTAAGAGTCGACTAACGGGATCGGGTGGTCAAGCTCGCTGACTTGGTTAATGCATGTCATCGTTTCCCAATTGCGTGGATCGATGATCATGGTGTCAATTACTGGATTGTCTGGTCCAGACTCGATTATATACAGACCGCCGTCATATAGCTGGAATATTGCCGAGTGTGGCTTTAAGCAACAAACAAAAAATAGGTTAGTTTGTTTGTTTGTTTGTTTGTTTGTTTGTTTGTTTGTTTGTTTGTTTGTTTGTATGTTTGAACAATTATTATAAGTACACTTATTATTGCATGTGGCTCATTTATTTCATGTGTGTGCGTACTTGGAAATAAAAGTATTCAAAGAGAATCTCACAACCAGCGCATCCTGACGTTACTCAGGGACGTAACCGTTGTTTGATATACTTCTTAATATACCATTTAATCTCCTTCTTGGTATACTTTTTAATACGCTTCGATATACTTTTGATGTAATACCTTTTGATATATCGTTTAAAAATCTGTTGATATACTTTTTGTTATATTTATGATATATTCTTACACATATACACATATACACAGTTTGACGCAGCATTTGAAATATATTTTGTGATAAACTTCAGCCTTATTTTCTATATAATTGTCAATATAATTTTGTCCTTCTTTCAGGTAATATTGATGCCGCCACATTAAGCATCAGTGGATCCACGCCCACGGCAGTAGCGTCAACGAGGGAAATAAGATTAACATGCAGTTATACACTCTCGACCAATGAAACCGCCACCACATTGACCTGGGAGGCCCCAGGTGGGGAATCTGTTTTGACATGGAACCTCTCATCTACGCATGCAACAACAAAATCTCATTGGACCTCCAGCACCTTCGGCACAAACGCATCGGCAGTACTGCCCCCGAATTACGTTACCACGACTTCGGGGGGCGTTTACAAATGTCGGTTAATTTCCACATTGGGAACCGAGACTGAAACTCAAACGGTTACCATTCAGTGTAAGTGCAGTCAGTTGGTAAGCTTTTATCCGCATCTAATAACTAAATAAAAGGATGTGAAGATGATAGAGAGAGGGTGGAGAGAGGAAGGTGTGGGGCGGGAGGGGTAGAGAGAGAGGGAGAGACAGAGCGGTTGGTAGTTGAAAGGAGAGGGTAGAAAGACCGATGGTAGGGGATGGGCTGAGAGAGGTGGGGTAGAGAGAGAGGAAGAGACAGAGCGGTTGGTAGTAAGACGGAGAGGGTAGAGAGACAGTGGGTAGGGGTGGGCTGAGAGGGGTGGGGTAGAGAGAGAGGAAGAGACAGAGCGGTTGGTAGTAAGACGGAGAGGGTAGAGAGACAGTGGGTAGGGGTGGGCTGAGAGGGGTGGGGTAGAGAGAGAGGAAGAGACAGAGCGGTTGGTAGTAAGACGGAGCGGGTAGAGAGACAGTGGGTAGGGGGTGGGTGGAGAGTGGTAGAGAGAGAGGAAGAGACAGAGTGGTTGGTAGTAAGAAGGAGAGGGGTACAGAGACAGTGGGTAGGGGTGGGTGGAGAGGGGTGGGGTAGAGAGAGAGGAAGAGACAGAGCGGTTGGTAGTAAGACGGAGAGGGTAGGGAGACAGTGGGTAGGGGGTGGGTGGAGAGTGGTAGAGAGAGAGGAAGAGACAGGGTGGTTAGTAGTAAGAAGGAGAGGGGTACAGAGACAGTGGGTAGGGGTGGGTGGAGAGGGGTGGGGTAGAGAGAGAGGAAGAGACAGAGCGGTTGGTAGTAAGACGGAGAGGGTAGAGAGACAGTGGGTAGGGGTGGGTGGAGAGTGGTAGAGAGAGAGGAAGAGACAGGGTGGTTGGTAGTAAGAAGGAGAGGGGTACAGAGACAGTGGGTAGGGGTGGGTGGAGAGGGGTGGGGTAGAGAGAGAGGAAGAGACAGAGCGGTTGGTAGTAAGACGGAGAGGGTAGAGAGACAGTGGGTAGGGGGTGGGTGGAGAGTGGTAGAGAGAGAGGAAGAGACAGGGTGGTTGGTAGTAAGAAGGAGAGGGGTACAGAGACAGTGGGTAGGGGTGGGTGGAGAGGGGTGGGGTAGAGAGAGAGGAAGAGACAGAGCGGTTGGTAGTAAGACGGAGAGGGTAGAGAGACAGTGGGTAGGGGGTGGGTGGAGAGTGGTAGAGAGAGAGGAAGAGACAGGGTTGTTGGTAGTAAGAAGGAGAGGGGTACAGAGACAGTGGGTAGGGGGTGGGTGGAGAGTGGTAGAGAGAGAGGAGGAGACAGGGTGGTTGGTAGTAAGAAGGAGAGGGGTACAGAGACAGTGGGTAGGGGTGGGTGGAGAGGGGGAGGGGTAGAGAGAGAGAGAGAGAAAGAGACAGGGCGGTTGGTAGTAAGAAGGAGAGGGGTAGAGATACAGTGGGTAGGGGTGGGTGGAGAGGGGGAGGGGGAGAGAGAGAGGAACAGACAGAGCGGTTGGTAGTAAGAGGGAGAGGAGTAGAGAGACAGTGGGTAGGGGGTGGGTAGAGAGAGAGAGAGAGAGAGGAAGAGACAGGGCGGTTGGTAGTAAGAAGGAGAGGGGTAGAGAGAAAGTGGGTAGGGTGTGGGAGAGGGGAAGTGGTAGAGAGAGAGGGGGGGAGAGACAGGGCGGTTGGTGGTAAGAGGAGAGGAGTAGAGAGACAGTGGGTAGGGTGTGGGTGACAGGGGGAAGTGGTAGAAAGAGAGGGGACATCATGTGAGGTGGTAGAGAGGTAGATGAAGGGTGGAGAGGGAACGAGGGGGAAAGAAGAAGAAGATGTATGAAAGGTATATGAATGAATGACTGATGACACCACGTGTTCGCGAAAAGGGGGAAGCATATCCTGCCCAGGTAGCCCCTACCACTCACACAACTTTCTTTATAAAAGTGTTCTTTGCTGCAAAAACGCCGCACTACTCCAGCCTGATAACCCTGAAATTTGGACGAGATAGACCATTGATTGATAGTGTTAGCAATGATCCACGGAATCTGGTTAAAACGCCCGCTATCAACATCTGTAACAAAACCTCTTTCCTCATGAAACTGTAATAAAGGATATTATTGTATCCACAAGACTACACATGTAGAAGCTACATTAGATCTGTGGTAAGTACATCCAGGTGGACGCCAATACGTCTTCACTGAGTGTTTTCGCCTTTGATATCTTTAGATAAACCAACCGTGACACTGAACTTTGCTGGGAGCCACGACGTCAACGAAGGCAAACCCCTATTTTTGACGTGCTCGGCATTGGCTGTACCGACGGCATCAATAAAGTGGAAGAAAGGGTCAACAAATCTGAGCGGAACCTCAGGTAAACTAAGGACCCGACTATTTGGTATTTTGGGGGAAGCTGGGATTTTATCGAAAAAAATAAATTGTTTCCGAAAACTCTTGAAAACAATAACTATATCAAGTAACCAGTCCCTAAAATCTCACAACTTGTCCAATCCACGACCTGTACAACCCACACCTGTCTTTTTAGAATAAATATGAAAATGAAATTTTGCAAAGTTAATGTCACTGGAAGATTTTGTCTTGGTCAACAATTCTTTTAATTAAATATAAGTTCCTTGGCCAAGTCGCCAAACACGCCGCAATTTGCGCTGAAGAGTTGCGTCCCTTATGCGTGACAGAATCCGATGTGGGTTTGTATCCCAGATTATCATGGATTTTTCACAGGTTTCAACAAATTGGTAAATTCCTGAGACCTGAATCAGTTAGAGCTTTCAACCCATATCAGCATATACGCCGGGAAATAACCCAAATACTGTTCAAGATGTTAAAACTCAGTTCATTCAGTCCTTGATAACGTTTAATAATTGATTATCTTTCGCAGTGAATAAGCCCAGTGCTGTACGAAGCGACGTGGGGACATACACCTGCACGGCTACTAACAATATGATCAGTGGAACAGGAACGGCGACGGCGACAGTAGCCGTCACCATAAACTGTATGTATGAATATGTACACAAGACAACAAATATAAGTAGGACCACCCATCTTCAAAGCAAAGCATTATTGCTATCGAGGTAGTCGTAATTCAACGTGATCGTCACCCGCCCGATGTGCATCGCGAGAATACTGTGTAGGTAAAGCACGAACATCGCGTAAGTATCGCAGGAATGACGCGTAGAACGTCGTAAGAACTGCGTGAGATTCGCATGGGTATCGCGTTCGCATCGCGAGAATACTGTGTAGGTAAAGCACGAACATCGCGTAAGTATCGCAGGAATGACGCGTAGAACGTCGTAAGAACTGCGTGAGATTCGCATGGGTATCGCGTTCGCATCGCGAGAATACTGTGTAGGTAAAGCACAAACATCGCGTAAGTATCGCAGGAATGACGCGTAGGACGTCGTAAGAACTGTGTGAGATTCGCATGGGTATCGCGTTCGCATCGCGTGACAAAATGGACTGAGAGGAATAAGTTAACGTAGTTCGTGTGTTGTCAGAGTGACTGTGTTACACCTTAGCCAGAACAGTATCTATTATATCATGACGGATTAGGCGGCTCGTCAACCAGTGGTTGACAGTGCGGGTGTTAACGTTGATCTTTGCAGTCAGGTATGACGTCACAGTTCATCGCGCGCACGACACAGAGCAACCTGCTTCAGCTTCCGCAGGAATACGATCCACATCAAGCTGTCATAAAGGCCAACATTTGCTTATATTTTGAATTAACGTCGTTTCTTACAGTAACTAGTCATATAAGTCGTGTTAGCTTTATGGAGGTGATCAATTCAAAGTGCTGGAGGTCATAGACATGTATTACGTTTGTGAAACCGGCGAACACGTGTATGGAGCCGACAAACCAATATTCAGGATCTAACCGAATAGGGATTCGACGTGCTGCAGTCTCTCTTTGAACTGTAGACAGTAACTGTCACAGTCAAATAGTGTGCGGAGCAAGCGTGAGTCTCACAACGTCAAGGCAAGTCCAAGAGAGACCACTATAACGTTAAAGTCCGGTTGAATGTTCGGTTGAAATGAGACCGTTAAGGCGTTTATGTCCGATCAAAGTGTGAACATTATGGCGTTTTATGTCCGATACAAGTGTGAACATTATGGTGATAATGTCCGGTCTAAGTGTGAACATTATGGCGATAATGTCCGGTCCAAGTGTGAACATTATGGCGATAATGTCCGGTCCAAGTGTGAACATTATGGCGATAATGTCCGGTCCAAGTGTGAACATTATGTCGATAACGTCCGGTCCAAGTGTGAACATTATGGCGACAATGTCCGGTCCAAGTATGAACATAATGGCGACAATGTCCGGTCCAAGTGTGAACATTATGGCGACAATGTCCGGTCCAAGTATGAACATAATGGCGACAATGTCCGGTCCAAGTGTGAACATTATGGTGATAATGTCCGGTCCAAATGTGAACATTATGGCGATAATGTCCGGTCGAAGTATGAACATAATGGTGACAATGTCCGGTCCAAGTGTGAACATTATGGTGATAATGTCCGGTCCAAGTGTGAACATTATGGCGATAATGTCCAGTCCAAGTGTGAACATTATGGCGATAATGTCTGGTCCAAGTGTGAACATAATGGCGACAATGTCCGGTCCAAGTGTGAACATTATGGTGATAATGTCTGGTCCAAGTGTGAACATTATGGCGATAATGTCCGGTCCAAGTGTGAACATTATGGCGATAATGTCTGGTCCAAGTGTGAACATTATGGTTATAATGTCCGGTCCAAGTGTGAACATTATGGTGATAATGTCTGGTCCAAGTGTGAACATTATGGCGACAATGTCCGGTCAAAGTATGAACATTATGGCGACAATGTCCGGTCCAAGTGTGAACATTATGGCGACAATGTCCAGTCCAAGTATGAACATTATGGCGACAATGTCCGGTCCAAGTGTGAACATTATGGCGATAATGTCTGGTCCAAGTGTGAAAATTATGGCGATAATGTCTGGTCCAAGTGTGAACATTATGGCGATAATGTCTGGTCCAAGTGTGAACATTATGGTGATAATGTCTGGTCCAAGTGTGAACATTATGGTGATAATGTCTGGTCCAAGTGTGAACATTATGGCGACAATGTCCGGTCCAAGTCTGAACATTATGGCGACAATGTCCGGTCCAAGTGTGAACATTATGGCGACAATGTCCGGTCCAAGTATGAACATTATGGCGACAATGTCCGGTCCAAGTGTGAACATTATGGCGATAATGTCTGGTCCAATTGTGAACATTATGGCGATAATGTCCAGTCCAAGTGTGAACATTATGGCGATAATGTCTGGTCCAAGTGTGAACACTATGTTGATAATGTCCGGTCCAAGTGTGAACATTATGGAGATAATGTCCGGTCTAAGTGTGAACATTATGGCAATAATGTCTAGTCCAAGTGTGAACATTATGGCGATTATGTCTGGTCCAAGTGTGAACATTATGGCAATAATGTCCGGTCCAAGTGTGAACATTATAGCGATAATGCCCGGTCCAAGTGTGAACATTATGGTGATAACGTCCGGTCCAAGTGTGAACATTATGGTGATAATGTCTGGTCCAAGTGTGAACATTATGGCAATAATGTCTAGTCCAAGTGTGAACATTATGGCGATAATGTCTGGTCCAAGTGTGAACATTATGGCGATAATGTCTAGTCCAAGTGTGAACATTATGGCGATAATGTCTGGTCCAAGTGTGAACATTATAGCGATAATGTCCGGTCCAAGTGACATCATTGTGGCAATAACGTCCGGTCCAAGTGTGAACATTATGGCGATAATGTCCGGTCAAGGTGTGAACATTATGGCAATAATGTCTAGTCCAAGTGTGAACATTATGGCGATAATGTCTGGTCCAAGTGTGAACATTATGGTGATAATGTCTGGTCCAAGTGTGAACATTAGCGCGATAATGCCCGGTCAAAGTGTGAACATTATGGTGATAATGTCCAGTCCAAGTGTGAACATTATGGTGATAATGTCCGGTCCAAGTGTGAACATTATGGTGATAATGTCCGGTCCAAGTGTGAACATTATGGTGATAATGTCCGGTCCAAGTGTGAACATTATGGCGATAATGTCTGGTCTAAGTGTGAACATTATGGTAATAATGTCCGGTCCAAGTGGGAACATTATGGCGATAATGTCCGGTCCAAGTGTGAACATTATGGCGACAATGTCCGGTCCATGTGTGAACATTATAGCGATAATGCCCGGTCCAAGTGACATCATTGTGGCAATAACGTCCGGTCCAAGTGTGAACATTACGGCGATAATGTCCAGTCCAAGTATGAACATTATGGCGATAATGTCCGGTCCAATTGCAAGTGACATCATTGTGGCAATAACGTCCGGTCCAAGTGTGAACATTATGGCGATAATGTCCGGTCAAGGTGTGAACATTATGGCGATAATGTCCGGTCCAAGTGCGAACATTATGGCGATAATGTCCGGTCCAAGTATGAACATTATAGCGATAATGTCTGGTCCAAGCGACATCATTGTGGCAATAACGTCCGGTCCAAGTGTGAACATTAAGGCGATAATGTCCGGTCCAAGTGTGAACATTATGGCGATAATGTCCGGTCAAGGTGTGAACATTATAGCGATAATGTTCGGTCCAGGTGTGAACATTATGGCCATAATGTCCGGACCAAGTGTGAACATTATGGTGATAATGTCCGGTCCAAGTGTGAACATTATGGTGATAATGTCCGGTCCAAGTGTGAACATTAGCGCGATAATGCCCCGTCCAAGTGTGAACATTATGGCGATAATGTTCGGTCCAGGTGTGAACATTATGGCCATAATGTCCGGACCAAGTGTGAACATTATGGTGATAATGTCTGGTCCAAGTGTGAACATTAGCGCGATAATGTCTGGTTCAAGTGTGAACATTATGGCAATAATGTCTAGTCCAAGTGTGAACATTATGGGGATAATGTCCGGTCCAAGTGTGAACATTATGGCGATAATGTCCGGTCCAAGTGTGAACATTATGGTGATAATGTCCTGTCCAAGTGTGAACATTATGGTGATAATGTCTTGTCCAAGTGTGAACATTATGGTGATAATGTCCGGTCCAAGTTTGAACATTATGGTGATAACGTCCGGTCCAAGTGTGAACATTATGGCGATAATGTCCGGTCCAGCTGTGAACATTATGGTGATAATGTTCGGTCCAAATGTGAACATTATGGCGATAATGTCCGGACCAAGTGTGAACATTATGGCGATAATGTCCGGTCCACGTGTGAACATTATAACGATAATGTCCGGTCCAAGTGACATCATTGTGGCAATAACGTCCGGTCCAAGTGTGAACATTATGGCGATAATGTCCGGTCCAGGTGTGAACATTATGGCGATAATGTCCGGTCCAGGTGTGAACATTATAGCGATAATGTCCGGTCCAAGTGACATCATTGTGGCAATAACGTCCGGTCCAAGTGTGAACATTATAGCGAAAACGTCCGGTCCAAGTGTGAACATTATGGCGATAATGTCCGGTACAAGTTAAGCTAATTTTCCGCCCCTATGTGGGAATATTCCGACATTAATATTTGGGTCAGGTGCGAACACTATTTTATATCCGAACTGTTCCTATGCAATGTACTGCATGTCGTACAAAACCAACTACTAAATTGTATCGGGTGGTCCGTCATTGTACGCGATAGTGTTGGACGTTGGTCATAATATCAATCACTGATTTTTTCCAGTCCGGATTCGACTGCGTACAGACAGCCGTGGTATTGATGGAATGTTATTTTTGATATTGAAAAAATATAATATTTAACTAATCATAAGCATTTCAACGATTTGACACCAGGAGCTTTAACCTATTACACCTGTGAAGATCTAGGTTAGAATTGATTTTCAGCAACCCATGCGTGCCGTAGGTCGACTAACGGGATCGGGTGGTCAACCTCGATGATGATCGCGTCCCTATGATTGCTGTGATTGTTGGTTCGAATCCGGTTCTCTCCGACTATGTTTCTAGGTTTGTCAGCACCATACCCGTGCTCTTGGCTTTCACCAAAATGGTAAACGTCTGGGACCTGCATCACTTCGGACTTTCTTCCCACATTAAGCTGACACGCCGTGATATAACTGGAATAATGTTAAAAGCGGCGTTAAACCCAATTCACTCACTCACTATTTACAGACCAAATAGTGGATCTATTTTCTTCTCGTCTTGTTCTACAGACCTAGACACCCCAAGTATGTCTATGACCGACACTACCGTGAAGGAGAACCAAACTATCACCATATCATGCAACGTTAGCAGCGTTCCAACTCCTACGCTAACTATCAGGGGACCAGTCTCAAGTCATAGAACACAAAACAGCAGATCAGCCTACAGAACCTTCAGGGCCGGGTGTTCAGATAAAGGAGCTCACCAGTGTCTTGCTACTAATGCAAACTTTTCGTCACCAAAGACGACCGAGAAAACACTGCGTGTATTGTGTGAGTATTTAGTTCATGGATATATGGCGGTATGAGTGAGTGACTGGGTGAGTGGGTTAGTGGATGAGTAAGTGAGTGAGTCAATCAGTGTATCAACCGCATCAACAGTTGCGTGATTAACTTGCAGCTTCACGTTATATCCAGGGCCCACTTGCATGACAGATTAAGAGCTTAGTTTCAGGAGTATTTAAAAAGGTGATGAGTACAGCATTTGTTTAATGGTGACAAAGGCACTAATTCGGCATTTTCTCATATTCAGTGTATAAACATCTGCATCTCTTTCATGTTACTGATTCCATATCACATTGACAACAGGGAAAATAATTATTGCTCTTGTTTACCTTAAATCCTATTGAAACCAAAGAAAATAATTATTGTTCGTCTGAACCTTGAATCACACTGACAACAAGGGAAATAACTATTGTTCTTCTTTACCTTAAGCCACACTGACAACAAGGGAAATAATTATTGTTCTTATTCACCCTATATCACACTGACAACAGGGAAAATAACTGTTGTTCTTATTCACCCTATATCATACTGACATAAAAGAAAATAACTATTGTTCTTGTTCACCCTATATCATACTGACATAAAAGAAAATAACTATTGTTCTTGTTCACCCTATATTACACTGACAACAAAGAAAAAAAATTGTTCTTATTCACCCTATATCATACTGACAACAAAGAAAATAACTATTGTTTTTATTCACCCTATATCATACTGACAACAAAGAAAATAACTATTGTTCTTATTCACCCTATATCATACTGACAACAAAGAAAATAACTACTGATCTTTTTCACCAAATATCATACCGACAACAAAGAAAATAACTTCTGATCTTTTTCACCCTATATCATACTGACAACAGAGAAAATAAATATTGATCTTATTCACCCTATATCACACTGACAACAAGGGAAAACAACTATTGTTCTTATTCACCCTATATCATACTGACAACAAAGAAAATAACTATTGTTCTTATTCACCCTATATCATACTGACAACAAAGAAAATAACTACTGATCTTTTTCACCAAATATCATACCGACAACAAAGAAAATAACTATTGTTCTTATTCACCATATATCATACTGACAACAAAGAAAATAAATATTGATCTTATTCACCCTATATCACACTGACAACAAGGGAAAACAACTATTGTTCTTATTCACCCTATATCATACTGACAACAAAGAAAATAACTATTGTTCTTATTCACCCTATATTATACTGACAACAGAGAAAATAACTATTGTTTTTATTCACCCTATATCATACTGACAACAAAGAAAAAAACTATTGTTCTTCTTCACCCTATATCTTACTGGCAGCAAAGAAAATAACTATTGTTCTTATTCGCCCAATATCATACTGACAACAAAGAAAATAACTATTTTTCTTATTCACCCTATATCATACTGACAACAAAGAAAATAACTATTGTTTTTATTCACCCTATATCATACTGACAACAAAGAAAATAACTATTGTTCTTATTCACCCTTTTTCATACTGACAACAAAGAAAATAAATATTGTTCTTATTCACCCTATATCATACTGACAACAAAGAAAATAACTACTGTTCTTATTCACCCTATATCATACTGACAACAAAGAAAATAACTATTGTTCTTAATCACCCTATATCATACTGACAACAAAGAAAATAACTATTGTTCTTATTCACCCTATATCATACTGACAACAAAGAAAATAACTATTCTTATTCACCCTATATCATACTGACAACAGGGAAAATAACTATTGTTCTTATTCACCCTATATCATACTGACAACAAAGAAAATAACTATTGTTCTTATTCACCCTATATCATACTGACAACAAAGAAAATAACTATTGTTCTTATTCACCCTATATCATACTGACAACAAAGAAAATAACTATTGTTATTCACCCTATATCATATTGACAACAAAGAAAATAACTATTGTTCTTATTCACTCTATATCATACTGACAACAAAGAAAATAACTGCTGTTCTTATTCACTCTATATCATACTGACAACAAAGAAAATAACTATTGTTCTTCTTCACCCTATGTCATACTGACAACAAAGAAAATAACTACTGTTCTTATTCAACCTATATCATACTGACAACAAAGAAAATAACTATTGTTCTTATTCACCCTATATCACACTGACAACAAAGAAAATAACTATTGTTCTTCTTCACCCTATATCATACTGACAACAAAGAAAATAACTATTCTTATTCACCCTATATCATACTGACAACAAAGAAAATAACTATTCTTATTCACCCTATATCATACTGACAACAGAGAAAATAAATATTGTTCTTATTCACCCTATATCATACTGACAACAAAGAAAATAACTATTGTTCTTATTCACCCTATATCATACTGACAACAAAGAAAATAACTATTGTTCTTATTCACCCTATATCATACTGACAACAAAGAAAATAACTATTCTTATTCACCCTATATCATACTGACAACAGAGAAAATAAATATTGTTCTTATTCACCCTATATCATACTGACAACAAAGAAAATAACTATTGTTCTTATTCACCCTATATCACACTGACAACAGGGAAAATAACTATTGTTCTTCTTCACCATATATCACACTGACAACAAAGAAAATAACTATTGTTCTTATTCACCCTATATCATACTGACAACAAAGAAAATAACTATTGTTCTTATTCACCCTATATCATACTGACAACAAAGAAAATAACTATTGTTCTTCTTCACCATATATCATACTGACAACAAAGAAAATAACTATTGTTCTTATTCACCCTATATCATACTGACAACAAAGAAAATAACTATTGTTCTTATTCACTCTTTATCATACTGACAACAAAGAAAATAACTATTGTTCTTATTCACCCTATATCATACTGACAACAAAGAAAATAACTATTGTTCTTATTCACCCTATATCATACTGACAACAAAGAAAATAACTATTGTTCTTATTCACCCTATATTATACTGACAACAAAGAAAATAACTACTGTTCTTATTCACTCTATATCCTACTGACAACAAAGAAAATAACTATTGTTCTTATTCACCCTATATTATACTGACAACAAAGAAAATAACTACTGTTCTTATTCACTCTATATCCTACTGACAACAAAGAAAATAACTACTGTTCTTATTCACCCTATATTATACTGACAACAAAGAAAATAACTACTGTTCTTATTCACTCTATATCATACTGACAACAAAGAAAATAACTATTGTTCTATTTCACCCTATGTCATACTGACAACAAAGAAAATAACTACTGTTCTTATTCACTCTATATCATACTGACAACAAAGAAAATAACTACTGTTCTTATTCACTCTATATCATACTGACAACAGGGAAAATAACTATTCTTATTCACCCTATATCATACTGACAACAGGGAAAATAACTATTCTTATTCACCCTATATCATACTGACAACAGAGAAAATAAATATTGTTCTTATTCACCCTATATCATACTGACAACAAAGAAAATAACTATTGTTCTTATTCACCCTATATCACACTGACAACAGGGAAAATAACTATTGTTCTTCTTCACCATATATCACACTGACAACAAAGAAAATAACTATTGTTCTTATTCACCCTATATCATACTGACAACAAAGAAAATAACTATTGTTCTTATTCACCCTATATCATACTGACAACAAAGAAAATAACTATTGTTCTTCTTCACCATATATCATACTGACAACAAAGAAAATAACTATTGTTCTTATTCACCCTATATCATACTGACAACAAAGAAAATAACTATTGTTCTTATTCACTCTTTATCATACTGACAACAAAGAAAATAACTATTGTTCTTATTCACCCTATATCATACTGACAACAAAGAAAATAACTATTGTTCTTATTCACCCTATATCATACTGACAACAAAGAAAATAACTATTGTTCTTATTCACCCTATATTATACTGACAACAAAGAAAATAACTACTGTTCTTATTCACTCTATATCCTACTGACAACAAAGAAAATAACTATTGTTCTTATTCACCCTATATTATACTGACAACAAAGAAAATAACTACTGTTCTTATTCACTCTATATCCTACTGACAACAAAGAAAATAACTACTGTTCTTATTCACCCTATATTATACTGACAACAAAGAAAATAACTACTGTTCTTATTCACTCTATATCATACTGACAACAAAGAAAATAACTATTGTTCTATTTCACCCTATGTCATACTGACAACAAAGAAAATAACTACTGTTCTTATTCACTCTATATCATACTGACAACAAAGAAAATAACTACTGTTCTTATTCACTCTATATCATACTGACAACAGGGAAAATAACTATTCTTATTCACCCTATATCATACTGACAACAGGGAAAATAACTACTGTTCTTCTTCACCCTATGTCATACTGACAACAAAGAAAATAACTACTGTTCTTATTCACTCTATATCATACTGACAACAAAGAAAATAACTACTGTTCTTATTCACTCTATATCATACTGACAACAAAGAAAATAACTACTGTTCTTATTCACCCTATGTCATACTGACAACAAAGAAAATAACTACTGTTCTTATTCACTCTATATCGTACTGACAACAAAGAAAATAACTACTGTTCTTATTCACTCTATATCATACTGACAACAAAGAAAATAACTATTGTTCTTCTTCACCCTATATTACACTGACAACAAAGAAAATAACTACTGTTCTTTTTTACAAGGTAAGCCACGTCAGCAGTCTAGCAGTCTGAAGAATGTGACAAAGAAGGTGAACGAGTCTGCATTATTCAGTGCCAACATAATAGCCGACCCTCTCCCTCAGTTCACGTGGAGCCACAAAGATCTGGATACTGGTCTCGTTACTAAAATACAGAACAGCTCTGGTCATTTTGAAATAATAAACAATGATTTGACGTCATCCTTGAACGTCACAGTTCTAAACGCTGACGATTACGCCGAGTATATTCTGGAGGTCAAGAATGGAGAAGGGGAGACTACTCTGAATTATCGGCTTAGATCTGAAAGTAAGAGCATTTCATATATCATTTCTAAAACAATTTCGAAATGAACTTCTAAAATCAAGCTGTATGGCAGATACTTTGAACGAATTCTGAAGTAGACCAGTTTTATCAGTGGACCTGGTCGAGTGAAAAAGTGAGTGAGTGAGTCGGGTTATTGCCACTTCCCACAATATTCCTGCCGATCACTGTCATCATGTACAGAAATTGATTTCAATCACTGAACCCGTGTGACGAATCGATGAACTAACATCCGGCTTCTAATACTCGTGTAACCATCATATGTATTTCAGAATGCCAGCTCAGTTGTACTAGCGGGAAGATTTCTTGCATTATTACGCTGAAATTCGATGGAGGGAAATCTCTATTTATCACAAGACACGCATATCACGACCAGCAATTACATTCAAACCGAATCGGACATCCAAACTGACCATTGGTCAGATGACAAAAGCGTATCCAAGCGTGTCACCCATGTGACTAGAACGTACAGGATGATAACGATGACAACTGCACGGCACATACTCGGGGATATCTTAGGGGTAGCTCTGTAGGTGAATTGTTTGCGCGTCTCTAATACTCGTGTAACCATCATATGTATTTCAGTATGCCTGCTCAGTTGAACTAACGAGAAGATTTCTTGCATTCTTACGACTTGAACGTACAGGATGATAACGATGACAACTGCACGGCACATACTCGGGGATATCTTAGGGGTAGCTCAGTAGGTGAATTGTTTGCGCGTCTCTCCCAGACTAGGTTCCCCACATGTGATGAGTCTATTCCTGGTATCCCCTTTCTGATAGTATGCACCACTATACTCCCAAGGGAGCTGACCGTGTAACTTATGATGGCACATGGTCCTGTGCACAGCGCTCTGCTCACAAATCAGGCAAAGTCTAGCAACGTCGGTCGCGAAGAATCCTTGGATGGGTGCTCGTATTCGGCAGCTTGACTTTTGGAATATGTTTCTAGAGCTTCGGTCCTTCCCCGCACATTTAGCACCTGAAGTTTATTCTTGGAAATACGCATCTGTTCACCCAGCCGTGAATGGGTATCCGCTGGGATCAGATAGTTAACCTCCAAGCGCTTCACTGGCAGCTTCGGTTATATACTCCCCAGGGGGCTGAGAAAAGGCAGTGCACGCTGATCCATTTGCCGGGGTAATAATGGCGTCGACGGATGGACTATAGTGCATTACAAATATCTATTTATCATTATCATAATTACATTATGCTTATATGTCACATGCTCTGTGATGTGCTGAGGTAGTAAGGAGGTTGAATAGTTTCCTCTTTTCTCAAAATACCTTGGTTCGATTCCCAACATGTTCGGAGACGATTCCGACCTGTGATATTGCTTGTGAAAACAACAGTTACTCACACACACGCTATAACCAATTGAAAGTGTGGCTGGTAGCTCAGTGATTAAAACATTGGCTTTTCACTGCGAACACCCGGTTTATTCATTGTATAATGTATGAGGCCTATTTCTGGTGTCTTCCGACGCTATATGCCTGGAATATTGCTGAAAGCGGTGTAAAACACCACTCACTCACACACTCAAGACTAAGCTACATGTAAGAAGACTGCATGTACATATATATAGACCCGTGATGATCCGAGGTAGAATAGGTCTTCATAGACCTATACTTGCCGTAAAAGGCGACTATGCTTGTCGTAAAAGGCGACTAACGAGATCGGGTTGATGCATGTCATCGATCCCCATTGCGTTGATCGATGCCTATGATGTCAATCACTGGATTGTCTTGTCCAGATTCGATTATTTACAGCCCGCCGTCATATAGCTGGAATATTGCTGAGTGCGGCGTTAAACAACAAACAAAAACATATATACGATCATGTCTTCAGCTGCACCATTCCGAGTGAGCACCTTGAAAAAGGCTAACGCGACAACCGACTCCATCACCGTGCTCTGGGCGTCGGCCTTCAATGGAGGAGCAACACAACAGTATTTCCTAGAGTACCAGACCACGGCGGACAGAGACAGTAGGGAGTGGACGCAGAAAACATCTGAAATTGAAGACCCTGGTCGGAAGAAATTTGTGTATGCCACCGTATCAGACATTCATCCTGCTAGAACCTACACCTTTAGAATATTCTCAAAAAACGTTTTTGGGAATAGTACACATTCCAATTATATCAACGTCACAACATCAGGTAGGAACAGGATTGTTATTCCACAACTGATCGTCGTTACAAATATTAATGGTGGTTATACCTTTACTTGGCACATAGTGCTTTTTCTCAGCACATAATTCCGTTGGTTTGTCTGCAAAATGTTTCATTCGACCAGACAAACCAAGGGTTGATATTACGAGCAATCAAGTGCACCTACGCCATCGGGGTACTATGACACGCAATCAACCAAGTCACCGAGTCTGACCACCTTATCCAATAAGACGTCTCTTGGGACCAGTACAGGTTACCGGGAACCAGTGCTAACCCGGAGTCACATTCTTGTTTTTTGTGTGACCTTTTTGAGTTAGAACTCTAAGGATGTGATATACATCTACATTGAAATCCTTTTAACTCGGGACACCATCAACTCGACATATCGTCTTACACATTGTAATCTTTATACCAGGCAAAATCTTTAGCAGCACCAAAATTACTTTTGTGTCGAACTACTGCTGACTCGAAATAGGTTCGATAATCTCCAGTACTTCGAAAAAACAGTGTGTCACTGTATGTTCGAAAGAACAGTCAATGAATTGTCTTGTTGTTTGGAACGATGATCAATAGGTCTTGAATTGGTAGTTCGAATGATTGTATTCATTTGCTTTCAAAGTTATAATAATCGTAGTGCACTTGTAGAAGGGCCATTACATGAATTATCTTGCTGTTTGGAACGATGATCAGTTGTTCTTGTATTGATACTTTGAATGTTTGCATTCATTTGCTTTCGAAGTTATATTAATTGTATTTCTTACGTAGAACGACCATAACATGAATTATCTTGCTGTTTTGAACGATGGTCAATTGTTCTTGGAGTGATTGTTTGAATGTTTGCATTCATTTGCTTTCGAAGTTATATTAATTGCATTGCTTACGTAGAACGACCATAACATGAATTATCTTGCTGTTTTGAACGATGGTCAATTGTTCTTGGAGTGATTGTTTGGATGTTTGCATTCATTTGCTTTCGAAGTTATATTAATTGCATTGCTTACGTAAAAGGACCATAACATGAATTATCTTTCTGTTTGGAAGTTAACGATGATCAGTTGTTCTTGTATTGATAATTTGAATTATTGTATTCATTTGCTTTCGAAGTTATAATAATTGTATTGCTTAAGTAGAACGACCATAACATGAATTATCTTGCTGTTTTGAACGATGGTCAATTGTTCTTGGAGTGATTGTTTGGATGTTTGTATTCATTTGCTTTCGAATTTAAATTTATTGTATTGCTTCTCCAGAAGTACCACAGCAGTTAACGGTCGGGGCTGGAATTGGAATAGGCTTGGTAATAAGCCTCCTTTTGGTAGCAATAATCGCTGGCTGCTTTGTGCTGTATGTTAAAAAGATTCGACCAATGAGACGTAAGTACAACGTATAATTTTACACATTACCATAAGGGGAGATTGGTTGTGTGTAATACTAGTAACTATCCGATATTTGCACATGTGCATTATAGCAATTCTTAATGATGATTTGTCATTTAAATCCATATGACGTCACAGTGCTTCATTGTTGAAAAAATACGATATGACAACCATTAATCATGACGTCACAAAAAACGATTCCATGGCGTCATCTGATAAATAGGCTGCTTTCAGGGAAGTTTCTCTTAAGGGTTTACATTTCAATTCTCCTCATTTTCTCGCCTTTGACAATATTCCTAATAAACATGGCATCACAGCATGTCATAACCAATTCTAAAGAATGGTAATGCGATATGTGGATCAACAATCATCAATGATAATTTTGGGGACTTCTGCTAACATTTATATCTTACCTTGCCCATGCTTTGAAGGGGCTCCTATTATCTTTGCAGAACTGCGTCACTTATTCTTAAGTCTGTTGTGATCTTGTAATCTTGCGCCATACCTATGATCTGACTTTGTACCAACACTAACACCCGTCGGATTGTCTACGAGCACTAAGTGCACCCTGATATAACGGAAATAAGGTTCAAAACCTACTCACTCATTCTTGGTTTTTCTACTTTTGCAGGGAGGGCAACGGACAAAACTGACCTGTAAGTTCACATGCATATATACTTTAACCCATGATGTAGGGGGGAATGTTTCCTTTAACTTCAACCCACGATGTGGATGGAATGTTTCCTTTAACTTTGACCCATGATGTGGATGGAATGTTTCCCTTAACTTTAACCCATGATGTAGATGGAATGTTTCCTTTAACTTTAACCCATGATAAAGATGGAATGTTGCCTTTAACTTTAACCCTTGATGTAGATGGAATGTTTCCTTTAACTTTAACCCATGATGTGGATGGAATGTTTCCCTTAACATTAACCCATGATGTGGATGGAATGTTTCCCTTAACTTTAACCCATGATGTAGATGGAATGTTTCCCTTAACTTTAACCCATGATGTGGATGGAATGTTTCCTTTAACTTTAACCCATGATAAACATGGAATGTTTCCTTTAACTTTAACCCATGATGTGGATGGAATGTTTCCCTTAACTTTAACCCATGATGTGGATGGAATGTTTCCTTTAACTTTAACCCATGATAAACATGGAATGTTTCCTTTAACTTTAACCCATGATGTGGATGGAATGTTTCCTTTAACTTTAACCCATGATGTAGATGGAATGTTTCCTTTAACTTTAACCCATGATAAAGATGGAATGTTTCCTTTAACTTTAACCCATGATGTGGATGGAATGTTTCCTTTAACTTTAACCCATGATGTGGATGGAATGTTTCCTTTAACTTTAACCCATGATGTGGATGGAATGTTTCCTTTAACTTTAACCCATGATGTGGATGGAATGTTTCCTTGGACTTTAACCAATGATAAAGATGGAATGTTTCCTTTAACTTTAACCCATGATGTAGATGGAATGTTTCCTTGGACTTTAACCAATGATAAAGATGGAATGTTTCCTTTAACTTTAACCCATGATGTAGATGGAATGTTTCCTTTAACTTTAACCCATGATGTGGATGGAATGTTTCCTTTAACTTTAACCCTTGATGTCGGTGGAATGTTTCCTTGGACTTTAACCCATGATGTGGATGGAATGTTTCCTTTAACTTCAACCCATGATGTGGATGGAATGTTTCCTTTAACTTCAACCCTTGATGTGGATGAAATGTTTCCTTTAACTTTAACCCTTGATGTCGGTGGAATGTTTCCTTGGACTTTAACCCATGATAAAGATGGAATGTTTCCTTTAACTTTAACCCTTGATGTCGGTGGAATGTTTCCTTGGACTTTAACCCATGATAAAGATGGAATGTTTCCTTTAACTTTAACCCATGATGTAGGTGGAATGTTTCCTTTAACTTTAACCCTTGATGTCGGTGGAATGTTTCCTTTAACTTTAACCCTTGATGCAGGTGGAATGTTTCCTTTAACTTTAACCCTTGATGCAGGTGGAATGTTTCCTTTAACTTTAACCCTTGATGTAGGTGGAATGTTTCCTTTAACTTTAACCCTTGATGTCGGTGGAATGTTTCCTGTGACTTTAACCCATGATGTAGGTGGAATGTATCAAACAGAAAGCCAACAAACTGCACCCCTCAGTGATCATCTAAGTGTTAATGATTTAGTTTGGGTGCGACTCACTCTTTGTTTTGTTTTAATTTTTAGAAAGATTAACAACCCAGAATACGATCCTCAATCAGTGGACAATCCAGGTATGTCAACAGGTATACAACCACCTCTCAAGGTATGTCAACACATGTACAAAAACCTGATTCTCCGGGTATGTCAACACGTATACAATCATCTGATTCTCCGGGTTTATAAACACAGGTACAAGCACCTTATTCTCAAGGTATGTCAACACGTATACAATCACCTGATTCTTAAGGTATGTCAACACATGTACAACCAACTGATTCTCCAGGTATGTAAACACAAGTATAATCACTATATTCTCCAGGTATATGAACACAGGTATACCCACTTAGTTCTCAAGGTATGTCAACACGTATACAACCACCTGATTCTCCATGTATGTCAACATGCCTCAACGAAGTCAGCGAGCCTGACAACCCGATCCCGTCAGTCACCTCTTACGTTGGTTGGTTGGTTGGTTGTTTAACGCAGCACTCAGCAATATTCCAGCTATATGACGGCGGTCTGTAAATAATCGAGTCTGGACCAGACAATTCAGTGATTGATATCATGAGCATCGATCCACGCAATTGGGATCGATGACATGCATCAACCAAGTCAGCGAGCCTGACTACCCGATCCCGATAGTCGCCTCTTACGACAATCACCGTCGCCTTTTACGGCAAGCATGGGTTGTTGAAGACCTATATTCTACCCCAGAATCTTCACGGGTCTCCTCTTGCGACAGGCATGGGTTGCTGAACATCAATAGCTGTTGTCATGGGACTGTAACAAACACTAGCAGAAGATGATCGAGTTTATTTCATGTGATAAAATATGTGCATGTATCTCGGAAAACACAAAAAAAATGTGTCAGAAAATAAACACATGATGCTAATTAAAACTTGCTATATTCCAGGTGTTTATATGTATATTCTCATGTTTACCTAGACACGTCCAATTATTCTCACCTGGAGGTAAACACCCGTGTCAGGGATTCGCCGGAGACATATGATGACTTAAATGGGGCTCCCGTATACCAGAACTTCAACCGCGCACAAAATAGTAAGTGAGTGAATGAGTGACTGGTCATTTGGTACGCGCATTTTGGGCAGTATTTCAGCTACATCATATGTGCAGTTTAATATTGGAGGAAAGAGTATGGGCATTTGTAGTTCTTAGACATTAATCGCTTGTTGAAACCCACAAGTACGGTTTTGTGCTGACAAAGCAAAATTGTTAATCAAGACGAACCAGGATTCGAACCCAGATCAGAGTTTTCCGTCGTGCCTAAGGGACGCAACTCGAATTGCGCACCTGATACGACTCGGCCTCTTAACACCCTTCTAAGAATGCTAACTAGCTATACTAATGTTCATCATGATGATGATGGTAATGGCGATGACTATGATGATGATGATGATGGTAATGACGATGATGATGACGACGACGACGGCGATGATGATGATGACGACGACGACGACGACGATGATGATGATGATGGTAATGATGATGATGATGATGATTCATTGCAGATCCAGCAGATGCCGTCTCGCCTGATGTTTATGAGAACGTCTCTCATTTTAAAGAAGCTGGTAAGCTTGAAACAAACAATGACATGTTTTTTTAATTATCGTCATAGTTTTCCTGAACGAAACCTAACGTCAATTCATTTATGAAACAGCCACATTTACCAAAACGGAACTACACGTTTCTACACATTGGTTTAATTTCTCACAACCCAGCAGGGACGATGCCCTGAACCTGCTGGGTACCCATGTTTATAACCTAAGTGAGTGAGTATGGTTTTACGCCGCTTTTAGCAATATTCAAGCAATATCACGGCGGGGGACACCAGAAATGTGCTTCACACATTGTACCCATGTCGTGAATCGAAACCGGGTTTATGACCTAAACATAAACTAGTTAACGAATACAGTTCATTTTGCTATTGTCACTGCCTGACAAAGAGCCTTACGTTTTTCGCCATGAATTATCATGCTGGTGTATGACAATGCTCCCAAGGTCGGACTAAATTTGCAAAATTCAGAATGTTTCGATATTGTACAAGCTGTTGACATGACTTAAAACCAAATTCCCATGAAAAGTTGATTTTGTTGGGACAAATACTTGCAGGCCTGTTATCCCTTTCCACCAAAGCATTTAGAATTTTATCCGTTATTTAACTTTTGAATAGGTTCCTAATGGTGTCAAAGATTAAATCGTGAAGATTCTGGGGTAGAATAGGTCTCCGGCAACCCATGCTTGCCGTGAAAGGCGACTATGCTTGTCGTAAGAGGCAACCAACGGGATCGGGTGGTCAGGCTCGCTGACTTGGTTGATGAATGTCATCGATCCCAATTGAGTGGATCGGTGCTCATGATATCAATCACTGGATTGTCTGGTCCAGACTCGACAATTTACAGACCGCCGTCATATAGCTGGAATATTACTGAGTGCGGCGTTAAAGAACAAACAAACAAACATAGTCGCTATATCCGTGCGTCACATGTTGTACGCGATGCACGTTTTACATTTATTAATCGTGTCATTCAACCGGTGTGCTCAAAGTAAGCTACAGTTACGTGATTCTTGTGTGAATCATACACCTTAAACCTTCGGCTTCAGAACATGACTCCTCACATGGGTTCGCGTGTCTTTTCAGGCGAAACAATTGACTTGCCTTTGCATGTGTTTGTGACAGGTAGGGCAGGATACGTTTAGTTTTTCGCGAACATGTGGTATCATCACTATTCGATCGTGATTCATAAACACATTAATAAATAACGTTTAATATCCTTCTCTGTCACTGTGTAAAATACTTTCTGTCCTTGACCGCGAGATTTTTAACAACGTAAATTGTAGGGTTCGAGTCAGCGTCGGCGTACAATTTTGAACGTACTCTCGGTATCGGGGAGTAACTACTGGAAAGTTTATAACGTGATATTTCAAAACATTAGCTGTCCGTGTATATAAAATAGAAGCGGCAAAACCCTTTCCACATTCATAAGAAATGTCTGCTAAAAGCAGAGTCGATTGTACGATTCCGACTACATCATAAGCATGCTTGTGAATAAGTATCAGGGTTGATAGCAGGTGTTTGCGAAAAGGTGAGCGTATACTGCTCCACCGGTTGCACATGTCACAAATACATGCAAAGGCAAGCCAACTAGCTATTTACGGAGACATATGGTACAAGTCAAACTACTTATCATTTTTGTCAGTGAAAAATACAGGGACTGGTCGGCTCCGAGTCAGAATACTCTGAGTAGGGTATTCATGTTAAACTGGGGCATGGTATCTCAGTGGGCTAGCACTATAAAACTGGCATTAGTCAGACCTAGTACAAGCAATCGCATGAACGCACACACGCACACACGCACGCACGCACGCATGCATGCAAACACACGTGCATTCACATCTCTTGAAAAGTGTAGTAATATTGAAAGCGACGATAAAACCCCCGATGAATGTAAAGAGTTTACCTCCGATCCACGTTTTGTTGACGTTAATACACAAAGCTGGCTACTTCCTGTTGCACTTGACATGGAAGCAAAGGCGAAAGTAAGACCCTTCAATATTTCCGGTTTGTATAAATAATCGAGTCTGGACCAGACAATCCAGTGATTGATATCATCGATCAACGCAGTTCAGATAGGATGACATGCATCAACAAAGTCAGCGAGCCTGACCACCCGATCCCGTTTGTCGCCTCTTGCGACAATCATAGTCGCCTTTTACGGCAAGCATGGGTTGCTGAAGACCTATTCTACCCCGGATCTCAGTAAAACATGTTTTCCACTCATACGATTTTGATATTTCAGAACAAGAGCCAAACAAAAAACACCCGAAAAAGAAAAATAAGAAAGAGAAAAAAGGAAAATCAAAAGACCGACGCGAGGCTTATGAGAATACCGCTGCACATGGTAAAAGTCATATCCTTGAAATATATAATTCCCCAGATATACTCTCTATATATGCTTCCCTGTATGTATTCTATATATATTCTCCCAATATATGTACGTATAATAATCCAATCTTAGTATAATCCTGAACCTGTTGGTATGCACATACATGTAATACTAATCCCTCACATGATAAGGTTGTGTTTTGTAACGAGCAGAATAAATACCAGAATTTCACGATTTAATAATTTCATCGTTAATATGAATTTTATTCTCCGATTTTCCACAAACTTGTATGGGACTATAGCCAATAGTCGGTATTTGTGACGAGCAGAATAAATACCAGAATTTCACGATTTAATAATTTCATCGTTAATATGAATTTTATTCTCCGATTTTCCACAAACTTGTATGGGACTATAGCCAATAGTCGGTAACTGCTTCGTTTCTATCCAGACACTGTGGGTTACGGAGGGAGCCCCATGCTCTCTATGAAATTGTCTGTGTCAGAAAATCGTTCATGTCTGATGGATAAGACTAAACTATTCACTCCTGTTTTTCCACCTTGTCTTTCATCACTTGCCAAACTTTTTCAATCGGGTTAAGATCTGAAGAAGCTGCATGCAATTTCAAACTCTTAAGTTTGTATGTTAAACCAGGTACGGGTGGACTGCGAAAATCGAATGTGGGCCTATTCTTGTTGAAATTAAAAGCGAATTTTCTGCTCGCTACTATAAACAATGTTATGTGTATTCATTCCAGTTAACAAAGCTTGCCATACCTGTTCTATATCAACCAACGTAGATATGCTCATGTAGATATACTAATATTCACATGTCTGTTTTGCAGTGTTTCGGCCACTGCTTTCAGACGCAACGAATTTATAACGTTTGTATTTTTTGGTGAAATCCAATTTTAAAGTGTATACTTTTTTTGGTCCTATACTATCTCTGCCCCCCAAAATGGTTGAATGTAATGTGGACATTGCATTATATTAACACGATTTGTCGATGTTGTCCTCATCAGCTCATAGGCATGTTTGGCACAGACATGTTTGTCCAGCGTCCTGGTCCAGCGCCCCTGACCACGTGTATCCATCATGAATGTACTTTCAGGGTATGCTTCTGTGCACGTCAAACATAAGCATCGGCGACGCCAAAACTCGAGGCCGAGCGCATACCAAAATACTGAAATAAGAGGCTATACAGGTTTGGTGTGGCGATCATTTTGCCATTATATAGCATGCATGCTGTAGACATTCTGTACCGACCATCACTGCATGAACGTTTATAAACTGAGGCTAAAAAGGAAACTATACCCCTCCGTTGATGTTATATTATGTTTGATTTTAAATTTAAAATTGAAAAGTTAGCGATATTATATAAAAATGAACTGAACTGTACTAGTCAGCTATCAAAACAATACTTATATTTATATTGGATTTAAATCTAATTTGGTTTAAAACTTTTAAAAATGTAAAAAAAAATATTCGCATGATGATTGGTATCTTAGACATCTTATCTTTGATAATCAACAACTTTTCATATCTCGGCACAAATTATATTTCAAATTTGGTAGGGGCCATGCAAATTCATTTCTTATCCATGTCATCATTAAACCAATGTATTTTTACACAACATTATCCAGTCAAAGATTACTTTTTACAAACTGTTGCAGGAATGAGTGATTGTAAAATAGACAATCAAAGTTAACAACAGTTCTTTCAATGTTCGGGGGCACGGGTGGCCCAGTCGTCTAAGGCGCCGCGACGCGCTGTCCAGAGTTGCGTCCCTTGGGCACGCCAGAAACCTATGATTGTGGGTTCGAATCTCGGTTCGTCCCGATTATGTTTCTAGGTTTGTCAGCACCATACCCGTGCTCGTGGGTTTCACCAAAGTGGTAAACGTCTCAGACCTGCATCACTTCGGGCTTTCCTCCCACATTAAGCTGACACGCCGTGATATAACTGGAATACTGTTAAAAGCGGCGTTAAACCCAACTACTCACTCACTCTTTCAATGTTCAATTACATAAAAGACAAACTCTGTATTCTTCCTGTAGCCCCTCAGTTTATATTCGCTATATGCTTTTAATGCATGGGCCAATGCCGCTATATTCACGGGTCTATTACGTTACTTTTGCGATCCACGCACCTTTTTCATCGTCCAAATTGATTGAGACGTTGCCTTCATCTTGCTATTTGTTTATAAAATCTGAACGTGCAGCAAGCTTATCTTTAAAACAATCTCTGACCCATTTATTGAACTTGAAATGCTTGTTTATTGTGTTTATTTTTTAACCCAGCGGTCAGCAATAATCAAGCTAACTGATAATTTTGAGCACGAAATGTTTTGTCACTTAATCAACGACCTTAGTTTCCGTATTAAGTGGTAGGTTGGTTTGTTGTTTAACGCCGCACTCACGGATGTACTGTCAGTATGCGATATTTGGTGTACTGTCAGTAATAGTGGATGTTCTGTCAGTATGTAATAACGGATGTACTGTCAGTATGCGATATTTGGTGTACTGTCAGTAATAGTGGATGTTCTGTCAGTATGTAATTACGGATGTACTGTCAGTATGCGATATTTGGTGTACTGTCAGTAATAGTGGATGTTCTGTCAGTATGTAATAACGGATGTACTGTCAGTATGCGATATTTGGTGTACTGTCAGTAATAGTGGATGTACTGTCATCCGTAGTTCGTTATAAACATACATACAGTATTTATGCAACAAATGGCCCGAACTAAATAAGTCTGTTATATCCGTTAGGTCGTTATAAACGTAGTTTACTGTTTTTACCCAAAATCATGTTTTATCGCACAATATAAGATTTAATTGTATTTCCACCCACAACTAGTTTTTTTCCGTTTTATTTAAACGAAAACTATATTTGTGAGCAGCAATACGTTTGCCACTATCAATAAAATCAGATCTTAGTTATCGCTACCGCTTAAAAAAGACCTGAGGACATCCCATTAGGGTCAGGTCGGAACGACCTTTCATCCGACCAATAAGAGCGTCGTTTACCAGATCAGGAAAGTGACAGTCTGAATTGTATGATTTCTAATCATGCAACCTCGAAAAGTTTAACACAGGATAGTCCCAATTTTAATCGAGAACTTTGTCAACTTATTTTTCAAGCCAAGTCTGAAATGGAAGTCGCCAGTTTGAACTTAACCCTCTGGCTGCCACCTAAAAATAGCCTGTGTACTATCGCTGTGCCGAGTTTATTTGCGAGTGACGTTCTGGAAACTGCACACTTTCGTCTAAAAACGACGTAACGTAACAACGATAAAACCCACAATTTTCAAATTTCACACTATAACAGCACAACCATTTCCCTAACTGTCTATGTAAATATTGTAAAGCATTAACGTTATTAACAGTAGTTTATAGCTCGGCAAACGTATTGAATATGCGATTTTTTACAAAATGTCCATGGCGGCTGTTTTGTTGACATTGCGCACTGGATACTTTGAGCGTCTTGTCAGGTTGTAAATCTCCACCAATGTAAAAACCAAAAACATTATGCGAAAGCCCGTTTGTTTCCCGATTACCGTGTTGAAAATGAAACATCTCCGTGGAAAATCGTCCGCGAAATCGTCGATTACGAATTTGTTCAAATATGTGTGACGCCATTTTGTCCGTAAATTAGTGAAATTGTAACGTTATCGTTTGCATATCATGTCGGAAAAAGCATATTAATGAAAAAACTATTTATGAGTAAGGAATAAAATCTTATCCCTAAAATCTGTGGTTTATTACCTACATGCTGATATAAATTGTAACGTGTAACCTTAGCTATGAAATTCAAAATTACGTACTTTTAGAAAGAAGAGAACGAAATCGCATTTCAAACTAAAACTTATACGCGGTGTTGTGTTTTCTTCATTGCAATAAATGATTTTTCTTTTCGGTCATTATTCATTTTTTAGTAAGAAAATCATACCATGTAATCTGCAAAGAACATGCCCTTATGCATGGCATATTTTTACTTTTCTTGCACCGAAAGGTATTCCTCACGGCTCATGTCAATCAGTTCACTGTAAATACTCCTACCAGGCGATGGCGGACATGTCCATTTGCACGTCGACAAAATTTGCATACAGACGATTGAACGAGTTAGTCTCGTATCTTTATGAATCCTTAATAACGTTGTTTTATTTTCATTTTTAACTAATAACGATTATACAAACACAAAACAATAAAAAAAATTCACATGAAGTAGAAACAATACGAAAATGCCTTTTTTGTTGTCGACAGCTTTAGTTTTGAATATTTCAAAATGTCGTCGACCGTGTTCAGCGGTGTTTGGGATTTTGGATTTACTATAACATCTTTGACAGCAACCGAGATAGTAAGTACATTTGAACATCATTCTGTAAGCAAAGCTTAGTGTTCTAGTGATGGTCTGAAATCTGTCGTAATTTGGAGATGATAAACGCATTGATTCATCAAAGATTCAAACGTTGCGATCTGGTCATATTTTCCCGATTTCCATCTCCGTCCCTGCTTCCATCAGCAGCCACTGAGTGACCATCAAGCAGTATTAAAGACATGGATCCACTGATCACAAACCCAAAGGAACTGTATTAGCTAACATTTATTACAGTCAGATGGATGTATATGTGATTTTTGTCATGAAATGTGCAAAGTATAATCAAAATTGATCTCGATAATTAATCTTTCTTTCGGGAACTTTTTGACGAATGATTTCCATGGCGATGTGGTAGACTAGCTGTTATGAATACCATTATCCGAAGTATATTTCAACGGACATTTAATACAAATCAAACCATGTATTCCTGGTACTGTTTGACGAATTTGAAAAAAGGTAATCTATGAAGAATTTGTAAACACCAAAAGGCACAGGTTACCCGCTCGAAAAAAACGGGCATCATTTCAGATTTGCGCAAGCCGTAACAAATACGTTCACGGCTTGCTGTCTTCTCTCACGTCCGCGCTTGCTCGTGGCATTTACCGCTAAAATTTATGGATAACATTATGTCTGTTGAGCGAACTTTATCAGAATACGTTACGGCAAAGACGTGGCAATTGTCCAATAGTCCTTGCCAAACTGACCAATAGTTAAGGTATAATACAGACAAGAAGAAATTTTCAATTTTTAAGGGTTTATCATAATAAGGATTAGAAGTAAAAAGTTTCTTTAGTTGTGTAGATGTATGTAAGTCATTGGTTATGATAACATTGGAGAATCGATTTCCATATATCAATTAATAATTAAAAAGTATGCTTACATATGCATACATGAATAATCTGTGAACATTTTTGAATATTTTGTTAATATTCCAGAGGAACAACCACACTTTCATATGGCTGTAATTTGAAATACTTTAGAAAATTAATTCTTATTCCAAGGTCCTTACTGTTATACTTACTGTCCTTAATGTCCTTTATTTAATATTTTGAAAAGTATCATCAGTAAAAAATCTTGTAACTGTTTAAATGAGATATATAAGACAAATGTACAAATCTCTCAATCTATACATATTTATTGACAGTATTTACATGTGAATAATATATAAACTTTGTACAATAAAGTTTTAAAAAAAGGCCGCATCTTAGCTGGAATACTGCTGAAAGCGGCATGAATCATACTCACTCTATTTACATGAAGTACATAATTGTGAACAAAAGATCAATAATCCATATACAATGAATCGCCACGAATTAACTGGAATATTGTAAATGTGGCGTTGAATCATACTCACGCACCAACATGTCCTTTTATATATATACACAAATCCATTTTCTATTTACAGTAAATATATATAATATATATCATTAATAGAATTTAATCTATTTACAATTAATCGCTGTGATGTTGCTGCTATATTGCAAATACAGCATGGAGTCATACTCTCACAGATATATCCTGAAATATACAAATAGAGTATTTACAGTAAGTACCAATATACAATATATACAATCTATTTACAAAGATTCGCTGCGATGTTGCTGGAATATTGCAGATGCAGTGGGAAGTCCTACTCACAAACAGATCCTTACATACACACAATAATTACATGTACAATAAATAGAGAACATAATATGAACATAAGTACATTAAACTGCCATATATTTGCGGGAATATTGCTAAAAGAGGCATAAAACAAACTCACTTCTTTACAATAAGTACATAATCATATACAATAGACAATGATCTATTTACAATAAAATCG